CCCGCAGGCGGCGGCCGAATGCCGGGCACCTCGCTCATGGCCAAAGAAGGAGGCCCGCCCCCACGTCGGCCCTGCGGACACCCCGCCTTCCTCCGCCGCCAACCCCCGGGGTAAGGGAAGGGGCGGTGGTGTGTGGGGGGGTGGTGGGTGACACCCCGGGGGGGGATTAAACCCCCAGGGGACAAGCGTTTCTTGGTTGATAGGGTCACCTCGGGGTCTCTCCGTGCCCTGGAAAGCTCTTGGGGAGCAGCAGAGGCGCCGTACGGCACCTCTGCTGCTCCCCAAGAGCTTTCCAGGGCACGGAGAGACCCCTGGTGCAGTCCCCAGTCCCCCCCAAAAACCCATGGTGGTCCTGGTGGCCCATGAGGCAGCCCTTGTTGGCCACAAAGGGCAACCAGTCTTCCCCGCATGGAAAAGAGCATGGGGAGAAGGTGGAAGGAGGTCATCCTCCCCCCCTCTACTCTGGCCCAGTGAGGCCACATCTGGAGTATTGTGTCTGGTTCTGGGCCCCCAGAACAGTTCAGAACTGCTGGAAAGAGTCCATCAGAGGCTACAAAGATGATCAAGGGAATGGAGCACCTTTTTTGTGAGGAATGGCTGAGACCTGGGTCTGTTCAGCCCGGAGAACAGAAGACTGAGAGGGGCTCTCATCAATGTTTCTAAATATCTAAATGGTGGGTGTCAAGAGGATGGGGTCAGATTCTTCTCAGTGGTGCCTGGCTGCAGGAAAAGGGGCAACAGGCACAAGAAATTCCATCTGAACATGAGGATAAACTTCTTTGAGAGTGCCAAAGTCCTAGAACAGGCTGCCCAGCGAGGCTGTGGAGTCTCCTTCTCTGGAGACACCCAAGACCCACCTGGATGTGTTCCTGCCCAGACTGCTGTGGTTGAACCTGCCCTAGCTTGGACTGGATGATCTCCAGAGGTCCCTTCCAACCCCTGCTGTTCCGTGAATGTATGAAAATAGGTGTTTTCAGGGAAAGGCCAAAAAGTCAAGTGGATGGGGCCAGACTCTTCTCAGTGATGACAGGACAAGGGGCAATGGGCACAAGCTGAAACAGAGAAATTCCATCTCAACATGAGGAAAAACACTTTTCCTTTGAGGGTGCTAGAACAGGCTGCCCAGAGAGGTGGTGGAGTCTCCTTCTCTGGCGACACTCAAAACCCACCTGGATGTGTTCCTGTCCCGCCTGCTCTAGGTGAACTTGCTTTGGCAGGGGCGTTGGATTAGATGATCTCCAA